CTTATTAACAATAGGGTAGGTGTATGATTTATCGAAGAAAAGTGGACAATTTAACACAATGGCTTACATTCAATTCCAGTGTAATTATTTGATCTCCATTAATGTATTTGTAATAGGCTGAACTTTTCTTTTATGAGTCATCGTTTCACATATATTACAGATTAACTCGCACAATTGGTAAAGTATGATTAGTAAGCCAATATTAGTATTAAAAAGCTTAAGATGAGACATGCTTGGTTTGTTTTGTGCTGTGGTGGCTGGTTTCGCGCTCAGTCTAATTTTGCTGTTGAGTCCATTAATCATGTTTAGACGGAGGAAATGCGCGTTCAGCATTCCCCATGTCATATGCACAAACACTCCCACAGACGCACACAGGGCCCATGTAAATCGTTTATGTATGAGACTTACCTTCTCAGGCCCATTAATTCTATGTAACCTATGCATTAGTCCTTGATTTAATGAACAGTGAAGCCCCTGTGTCCAAACATGATAACATGCACACGAACACATGCTAACACAAATGCTAATAGCACACTGTGTGAACTAAAGGGCCAAAATATAACAGGTTCCAGTTTATCATTTCTAGCTGACATTTTGAGGATTTTTTGCCATTAAAAAAACAGAACATTTGATTGTTTTAAAAGATACTCTGCCATCAACTTAAGATGGGTTGCCCTTACCTAAACCTAAAGACACAGGACACGTACCATTTCCTCTAGCTATATGAAAAGCCATGCCTTGTGAAAGCTCAGAAACTCCAGACCTCCCTCACTGAGCTGCAGAGGCAGCACTAGCACTGATTCATGATTAGCTGCATTAGTGCTTAGGTTTAAGTAGTGAGAATGAAACCCAAATGCGAGACTCATGTAAACCTCCTTCTGATTTCTGACTGCAAAATCATCAACTACCAAAACACCAAATTAGAACACGCCAAGTCCCACGCCAGAAATCTGACGAGATCAGGCTTTGAGAAGCCGGTTTAAGCAGAAAAGAAAATTCAGCATTAGAAATGTTATCAGCTATGACTGATTTGAACATGATTACCTCGTATCTGGAGACACAAGTCAAGTTTATGTCATTTAAAATCAAATTTTAAAAAATCATACATAAAGTTCCTTTATGCTGTTTTTTAAAAACTCTAACCTGAATATGTATGTAATGAAAACAAATACATGAAGTAAATGCTATTAAGAGAAGAAGTTGCCAGAAGAGGAAAAAAGGGATCATAAACCCCGCAAACGTAATAATCTCCACAAAAACATAATAATCCTCACTAACGTAATAATTTCCAACAAACATAATAGCTGTTACATTTATGGGAGGGTATTACATTTGAGGGTTCAAACATGTTGTTCCATAATCATAATGCAATATTCACAAAAAGCTAGAAGCTACATTGTAATAGGTATAATATTCATTTTAATAGATATTACATTTATTGTATTACATTTGTGGGCTATTTAGTTATTATGTTTGTGGATTTATTCCATTGAGTTTCATTGTTTGTTTGGCTTATTACATTTGTGGCGCTAATATTATGTTTTTATTTTATTTATTACTCATGTACATTTGAAACGGACCAACTACCTTTTTGTTTTATGACTGAACCTCTGCATTTTTGTTGCATGCTGAAACTGGAATAAAACTAATGTTTTATTTGCATGTATTTTTCATTAAGCAAATGAGACATGAGAGATAAGACATATTAAGTTGATTATTTTATTTTAAAAAATTATCATGGCTATATTTTAAAAATAAGAAATAAATGACAAAAAGTAAGAAAAGCTGCCTTTAAAATTGACCACTGGCTCACTAAACTTTGAAAGCATGTGGTGGGCACCAGAGTGATGAGAATTGGAGTTTTTTTCCTCCTCATTCACCACCTCCTCTGGTGGTGTGTCACCCCTCTGAAATCCTCTGCTTGGCTTGTGGGATCTTCAGAACTGTCAGGGAGATTGGACTGTTCTTCCCCATCGCCATTGTCAAGCTCCAAACCTCCAATATACATTAGGGGGAAGATGCGTCCCTTGTCTGGCTCTCAAAGTCTTCAGGGATCTCACCGGCAAAAATCCACTCAATCTGGTGGTCAATTTCTATCTAACAGTTTTCCTCCTGTACCTCCTCTGGATGATCCTCCTCCTGGACCTCTTCTGGCGGTGCTGTTTGATCTCACCATCTTCATTGACATCCATATACTCGTACTCCCTGGATATATACCTTGGGCACAGTGAGCTGGAATGGTTTTGTGTCTCCTTGACCTCCTGGTTGACATCATTGCCCATAAGGCCATTTCGCGTAGTCCGCATGCATCTCCTCAAATTACTCCAGAGTTATAAACTCATGCTGTAGAGCTTCACTTGGAGTTATTCCCTTTGAGAAGTTCATGTGAAGAAGGTTTCTTATCAGGCTCAGAAACCCCATCCTGTCCCTGAATTTACAGAACATAATTTTTGGCAGCCTTGTCCAGATCTTGGAGTATAACCTCCTGGTGTATATTCCTCTGTCCAAAAGAGAAACAGGACTTGGGTCAAAGGCAGTCACAGGCTGACCTCTGGAGCCCGAAAATAAAGGTTCTGATGAGAGGACCCCAGCTTTAACTCCGACTTCAGGTGTGCCAGTCCAAAATCAATCAGCTTCACTTTTAAAGGCTGTTTTTTGCAACTGACCAGCATTACATTGTCCAGTTTCAAGTCAGTGTGCACAATGCCCAACTCTCTGAGTGCCTTAAAGGCCACCAGAAGCAGGTGCGCGATCACTCTGACCTCACTCAGGCAGACGTATTTCTGACGCTATTTCAAAAGGTTCTGCAGGCTGCAGTTCAGCATTTCAAACATCATACAAGTGTCATCCTCCCATACAAATGTGTCGATGAATCTGACCATGTGACACTTATCAGGGTCCAGCTGCCGGGTGAGGTGGAGCATTGTCACTTCTCTCTGCAAAGAATACTGGCCCTCCTTCTTGAGGACTTTTACTGCTACAGTTTCTGTTGTCATGGGCTTGAGACAGTGCAGCACCTGTCCAAAGCACTATTTTTAATATATTGATATTATGTTAGTGTGGCTTATAACATTTGTGGGGCTAACAGTGATTTATAGATGTAGTGAAAGAGGACATGACACAGGAGCAGACTAGTGCTGTTGACCTGATGACAACTACCTAATTCTAACTTGTCTCTTTCTATAGAAGAAATGTAACTCAGTCCAACACCATCATTTGCGTCTTGTTTTCATAAATATACTTGTCTGAGGGCCAAATGTTGTAATGTTGTTTTGGTGTTTGTTGACAGTATTATCAAGAACATATGGGCATTGCCAAGCAGGCACTCCATATGCTGCGCTGCTGTCTTCTTCTCATGTTTGTTAGCTAGCTGGCTCCCACACTCTGTATTTCTCTTCTGGCTTCCTGTTTGTCTACTGGCCTGTCTCTGTGTGACTGTTCAGCTGACAGCTCTCACTGAATCCCAAACAGCACAGTCCTCTCTACACAAATAATGAATCAGTACTAGCAATGAGTGTGCTGTATTAATATTCTCTTAGATAATCAGATATAAGAGGGCTTTCACTATTTATGCACACACACACGCTACAACTGAGACAAAACCTGGTACTAAATCTGGACTACATTAGAAATAAACCAAGACTTGAACGAAACGAAAACTTTACGCAGTGTTGTTTATGCAATATTAAAGGGGTTACATTATAGGGGCCTGATTTTTAGTCCTCACAAAGTAAAAGATAAGTGTGTAAACAGATTTCAGTCTCCACAATGTGATATATACATCCACCCACAAGCACAAATGTTAGGTTTATATGCTTCTGGGGGTCAGTCGAGGACATTGACTTACATTCATTGACTAGAAACTAATACATAAGCCACTGACTAACTGACAAAACCTTTACATAAATTAATCCTATCTTAACTTTAGCCATGCATATGATGTAATATAGAAGGATTTATTTGATTTTCGGTCTCCACAAAGCAAAACGTCCCCATGAAGTGACTGTGTATATAGATTTAAGCTCCCGGAATGTGATAAATACCCGCCTACACACACGTATTATATTTTACAATGCACAGCTTTGACTTCAAGAGGGGCATAAATCCTGTTTATGTTTGAAATAATTAATTCTTTATAGTGAGAGATTATCAGCGTCTGTTTGGAGTGCTGACATTTAGTTTATGGGACGGAGCACTTCACACTGAGTGATGGCAGATGAAGGGAGCTACAAACAGGCTAAAGGCACTAGACTCAGACTCGCAACACATAACAGTTTGTTCTTAGACTTAAACATGCACTATGCAACTTCTCTGGTAGAAGGTATGCCTCTGGCTTGTCTCCATGGAGATTACTGCTTTGCCTGGAATGTTTCATAAAAGCATTAAATGTACATATCTTCATGGAAGCAAGGCGGTGGCACCAGCAGGCTAAGTTACAAGCCAGATCTGTGTTTTCAAGGTATTTTTCACCAATAAAATACTGCAACTGAATTAATGTAAGACACATATGCTTACAGTAATGCAATACTGTGGAGCGTTCCAAGAAAAAGCACTAACATCTCTATGGAGGCAAACAGGTGGCACACCCCAACACACACACACAGACACACACGCACACACAGACATACACCGCCAGAAATGTTACATACAAGGTTGGTTGTGCAACTTGAAGAACTTAACCAGGAATATTAATATGTGAAATGGCAGGAATAGGGTATGGCTTACAGATATTAAATTTCCACTGTGTAACTTTTCTGGTGGGTGGTTGACCCGCTACCTTCTTGTCTCATGGAGTCAGATAGTATCGCATTCTCAGTCTTAATGCTTCTTTATTGGCACTTTTCAAATTGAAATTTCTCAACTATTTTATGGAAATCATAATGCAAAACGGAAGACTCCAAAAGAAGGTTTTGTTTGAATAATTAATTACCCAAAATTAAAGTGAGTAGCTATAGGCATACAGTATATTGTACTATATCAGGTAAGAAACTGTTTCTTACCTGTGTTATCTGCTCCAGTCTGTGTTTGGCCCCCTTCAGGACAGGGTCGGAATAGCGGACAGTCATCTCCGGGTTCTCCCTCTGGGCTTTCACACTGCTGCCAACCACTCGACCTGCGTAGCTACACAAAGACACAACAAGACACATATAGTTCAGTACTGAGTGTCCCAGATATGTGCGTATACTAGTGCCCATGACCTACTTTACCCACAGCTACTACTACACAATTAAATGAGTTCCTTGGAAATGCAATCCCCAAGTCTGGATTGAGTTTCAATTAACCTACCTCTAGGCTTAAAAAACATGATTTATCCAGTAATAGAGGTCATGTTTTGGCTTGCAGATATTAATTCAACAGCAAAAAAAGTTATAAGTGGAGTGCATGCCCTCCCAGTGGTCCCCTAGTTTACTTTTATATGCTATGGTCCTATGTATTTGGGAAAAGAGAAACATAAAGGTAATAGTCTGTTAAACTACATTAACTATGTACTATGTTACTTTTGTCTGTCACCTGATTGTTTCCATGGACATGCCATTGCTTTGCCTAGAATATTCCATTTTAAACTTATCCATCCCTATGGAAAAAGCAGGTGATGCCACCAGGCCAAGCTGCATGTGAGATCTGTGGAGAGGCAACCCCACCCCTCACAGTAAAAACATATGTTTTCAAAATAATTTGGAAGAATAAATACACCTCTGTGCTAGAAAGATTCATGCCATATTGTGGAACATTCCAGGAAAAGCAATAACATCTCCATGTAATTATGTCATGGTAACAGAGTGCTTGGCTGCTTTTATGGCTGCCTGGCTCACACACTGAGCAGGTTTTAAAACTTTTAGTTTTTTGAGCTCAGTTTATAAGATCATATCATGTGATTTTAACCAACTAAGAAGTGCAGCATTTGCAGTTCAAAGGACACAAGTAAGGGATTCTTGGACTTGTGAAATGATGAGCTGTTTGTTTTTCCTGTATCCATGGAGACCGTGCAAGAGGCTAGCTGATGAGCTAGGTGAGGAGCTAGCTATGGACATTTGAGTTGCTACAAGTTTTTTACACCATAAGTGGCAGCAAATGTGGCAGAAGACCTTCAAAGGAAATGCTTTGAGGGAATGAACATAAGGGACTATTGGATTGTGTGAAATGAACTGTTTGTTTTTCTTGTATCCATGGAGATCATGCAAGAGGATAGCTAAAGAGCTAACTATGGACATTTGAGGTGCTACAGGCTTTTTGTATCATATGTGGCAGCAATTGTGGCAGAAGATCTTCCAGTGGAAACACTTTCAGTGAACGAACCATTTCGTCACTAAATGAAACACTAGAACAGTAAAAACAAGGCCTTTCATGTTGTGTTCACCTGGTTCCCCTGGATACGGCTGTGATGCTGCAGGAGGAGACACTTTTAGCTCTTCCACAGGATCTGCTGACCCTCCCTGAACAGTCTCCTGTTAAACTGCACTGAGACCTTTGACTGAGACAAAGATCTCAGTGCCGGTGTCTGAGAGGCACCCCTCTCTGTCTCTCCAGGGAGACAAACAGGTGGGGCACCATACTCCAAAAAAATGTACAGAGTGCACCTTTTAATATATTATAACAGCATTGGTAAATATTGTTTCCACTTTGTCATTTATCATTTGTCACAACTTATAAATGATACAAGATCTAAGTTTGCATTTGAAGTAGATTATTATAACACTTTTGTTGTGACACAAGAACAGAGGAGCTATATAGTGAGTGTGGGTGGGTCTGGAGTAAAATATTCATGGGAAAACATTGTGTCATCTTTACCAACTTTCCATGACCAAACCAGACGCCAACACAGTCATCACTTTCACTTACTAACCGCCCCGACCCCACCCTGTCAGACAAAAACATGTCTACTGCAGCAGTGAGGAGAAGAGGGCGTGAAGAATCGTGGGTAGGAACCAAACCACCAAAAACCTGACTTTAGTTCTGCCAAGTGATGATACAGCAAAGTTTACAGAGCCATGACAGCTATGAGTTCTGAGCAGTTACTCTCTGATGTACAAGTTGAGCAATAAATCGAGTCTAATGCGCGTTTTGTTCCTACTCAGATACAGTTTTAATGGAGGGAAAAGCAATAAAAGTTAGTAAAAGGTTTATAAAATATTCAACAAATATTCTAGCCCGAAGAGAAGGTTCTGTCATCTCGTACTTACATAATATAACATCCCACTGCCTCTGTAAAATGTGTTCCTCTATTCTAACTATTAGTGCAAGTGAAATTAAAATATCAAAGCCAGATGCAAACAGCCAATAATAATGAGTAATTAAATGAAAACAAAATGAAAAGAAGTAATTATTTTGTTACGCTCTAAATAAATGACTAATGTGCCAAAGCAGATCATGTAAACAATCATTTAATTTTTGTTTACAATTATGCAGTTATATTGAATGCTTAGACAGAACATAAAACTATTTGAGGAGGGCAAATAGAAAGAATAAAGCAGTGAGTGAGCAACTACAGCTGCCTGTGGTTGCCATGGTTGTGGCTGGCTGCTCTTGTGGCTAAATAGCTGGCGCACTGAGCAGTTACATTTTTAACTTTTTATTTGGGTTTTTTGACCAACTAGAAGTGCAGCTTGTACAGTTTAAAGGACAAAAGTTAAGGATTATTGGATTGTTTGAGTTGAGCAGTTTGTTTTTCTTGTATCTATGGCGATGGTTTTATAACAATGTAACAGGTTTTCTACACCAAACATAGCAGAAGATATTCTAGGACTAACACTGGAGCATCTCATCACTGACTGAAACAGAGCGCAGAGAGGCGGTATTCCTGTTGTGTGTCCAGAGTTCATCTGGTTTTCCCTGGACAATGCTATGATGCCCTGGCTGCAGGACACAGAAAACACAGAGGAGGGACACCTTTGTCCTCAGGGCTGTCACTAGCCTCAAACTGCCCTGACACTGGAACTAATGATCCCTACCTGTGGAACTGGGCAGAGACTTTTGTTTATGCTTTCTATTGTTATTGTATTTTACTGTTCAATGCCTGTAAACTGATCCCTGCGGACACTGATATTGACTGATTGGTTGAAGTTTTGCTTTTTATTTTTGGGTATTTTTGTTTTGTTCTGTATTTGAATCATTTTAAAAAGGGGTAAATCCATGAAGCAGCAACCTAACCTACACTTTTAAAATGACACAGATACTTTTAAGACATTTTGACTGAAGAAATATTGTAATACTTTGCTCATTTAGAGTCTTTCAGCACAGGGTTTTGTTAGTGGGTGGTTTGCATGTTCCCATATTCCTTTTATGCTCCATAGGAAATTGGCTATCTTAACCGTGACAAAATGAACACTGATGTTAAAGCCCACAAATCCCAGGGTACACTCAAAGTTAGCTTGTCAAAACCGCTAATCCCAGTTAAAAAAAGCAGACTTGTGAATGTCTGTGTGGATTTTACATCAAGGCTATGTCAAATACATTGCCATGGAAACTGCTGCTACATTGATCATAAGAAAGAGGTTACAGTGAAAATGTTATAACTGTGTTGCAAAGATGAACATGAAATACAACAAAATAAATCAGCAAGATGTAAATACATTTTCCATGAGCACTGATTGACAAATTGCAATATTATAATGTTATGAAGTAGCAAACACGCCTGAAGCTGTATAAACATGTATAGGCCTACCACTGAAATCCATTTAATAGGCAGTGATGGGAAGAATACTTTGGAAATGTATTTATTTACAAAATAATGAATATCCAAATTAAAATGTATTTTGTAACATATTCTGATATATGGTTCAATCAGAGTACTGTATTCTGAATACTTGGAATACTTTTACATCAAACTGCATTATATCATCGTGAGAAAACATGTCATATAATTACAAAGACATGCATTTATTTATTTATTCTAAATTGAGATTTAAAAAAATTGCATATGCACACACTGTAAGAGTTATGTTTCATTTTTCACATTTCATATTTCAAAGCCTAAATTCCATGAAGTACTGTCATGTATTCCTTTTTATTTTGGAAAGTAACAGTAGTCTGAATACCACCAAATGAAAAAATAACTATACACAGCTACTCAAAATTAGTATTCAGAATATTTATTTTCAGTACATCTATTCAGTTACTTTTCAGCATTGTTAATAGTATTAATCCTGCTCATCGTAGTGATTTTTTCATTGGTAAGCAAAGCAACAACGTTTTAGATAATTTTAAAAAGTTTTACAAAGACAAAAAATTCATGTGAAAAGCTCTTCAGTGATCTAATACAGTTTGAATAGTTTTTTATTTCTTGAAAATATTCATTACACAATATTCACTGCAAAACATGCTACTGAGATCTGCCACCTTTGCCAGCTGGTTATTCATATAAATGCACTCTCTTTACCTTCATTGTTATTGGAGCTATAACAGGCCAAAACTTTCCTCCATATCCGACCTCAGCATCAGAAACACCAGCCTGCTCAGCCTCTTTATCTTCTTCCTTTCTTTCTGTTGCTAATTTATTTGTATGTCTGACAGAGTTTTTCATAAATAAACATCAAAAATATGCGATGCCACTACAAAGCAACATTTTGTTAGAATATAGTAAGTGGAGATTAAATAAATGAGCTCAATTAAAAACCAGAGAGTCCCGGGGGAAATCCCAGGATTCCTCTGACTCCAGTGCAGATTTCAGGGATCAGTGACAGCAATAATAAAAAACATGAATGTTACATATCTGGCAACCCACCACATTCCCATTCTCTGGCATACAGGCAGTTTTCTTTGTCATTAACTGATCGGAATTTTCTCAAGCGTAATAATAATCAAAAGTAGGACTAAGGTGAAGGAGATGTTTGCTTTTACCCCACAGCAATGTTGACGGTTACATCTCTGACACAAAGATAAATAGGATTTAGTCAGAAATACATGTATTAGTGTCATTTGTCATCATATCTGGTTTACGAAAGTAGCAATAGATAAGAAAAGTAATTAGGATAAATGCTTTTTTTTGGTTTAGTTTTTTCCTATCAAACAGAGAGAAGGTGACAGAGAGGTTAATGACATCGATCAAAGATAGGGTGAACTGCTAAAGTAGTGTTATCAGATATAGCATTTTTGGTTACTGTTTGGTGCTATTGACAGTTCAG